CGTCACTAAAACCGTGCAGCTCTACCGTAATCGTATTCGTGTCCTTGCAGAAATAATATCTAGGAATTCGAATTGAATTCAATTGAATAATCTCACTTCGTAATGCTAAAAACTTCAGTTTCAGTTCGCCGACTAATTCCTGATCCCAATCTACTTTATCGAAACAAGCAATTTGAAAAAGTATCTTTAACGTCACTGTAAACGGAGAGATCAAACCTAGCGGATCAAAGATCTTGGCGACCAGAGACAACAACGAACGCTTAGTAATAGGTAGCGAATTTGCATAAATTTGCAACTCAACGAAATCAAAGAAAATCGTGTCCGTGCTAGTATTCCAACGAACTCCTAGTAATTTTACGATGTTACTTGACGTAGCTGTTCCTTGACTCGTCGTCGACTTCGCATAAGACTCATCGTCTTCTCGAGAAACTACGTGCTTCGTTTCGCGCTTTGACTCGACTTGCTCGATTTTTTTCTAAAACCTCCGAGGAATTAGAACTCCACTTCCTCAAGTTGAACCCGCCCTTCGCCATGATCTCCTTTGATCTTTCGTAAATTTTAAACGCCTTCGAAACGCTACTCTCCCCCGTTAATAAATCATCCACGTAAAACGCTTTCGAGAGCAACTCCGCCATTTCCGGTTCGCTTTTCTTGAAAGAGTCGAGATGATACTGTATTACGGAACCAAGAATCGAGGGGGATGGTCTCAGACCAAACATCAAACGACTGAAACGAAGGACTACAGTTGTGGGATCATCATCGAAGGGGTCGTCAAACCACAAGAAACGTAACATGTTTTTGTGCTCGTTTTTACACCAACCATGAGAAAGGCCTTCTCTATATCCGCCGTAATTGCGATGGAGTTTGAACGAAACCTTACGAGCATATCGAAAATATGAGGGATATAGTTCGGGCCGTTTTCAAGACAGTCGTTTAAGGAAAGTTCCTGCGTTCCCGATTTTGCGGACCCGTCGTAAACTATCCGAACCTTCGTCGTTTCTTTGTCTTGGCGAATGACAGGGTGATGTGGGGAATAATGCGTTCCAACACTGCTCGTGGGATCATGCTCGCTTTCTGGAACTCTTTCGACAATACCAGCCTCGAGCTGATCTCGAATGATCTTGTCGTACTCGATTAATAACTTCGGTTGCTTACGTAACTTGCGGTATAAGGACAACAAACGGTTGTTGCACGATTCAAAATTTTCGGGAAGAGGTAAACGATCACGTTTCCACGGTAAACTTACTTCGTAACGCTGTCCGTTAAATTCTATGTCCGGACAAAACTCGCTCGAGATTAAATGCGGGTCATCAACTGCTTCGTCGCAAATCCCAATCGCTTCTACGTCCCAGAAACGTTTGAGTTCATGCGTAATCTCGTCAGGTATTTCGTTTGGGTAATTCAATTCACTCCCCCCTGAAATGATAAGATTATTGACAACCTCGGTTTGGTTGCCCACGGATGGAGGTTCGGTTGGACCCGACAAAACCCAACCAAATTTGCTCTCAATCGCAAGGGGACCACTTTCTCCACGAATAACTTCGCCTGTGATAAGGTCCCAGTAGTAATCGGACCCAATCAAAACATCGATACCTTCTCGGTCGTTAGTCGTACAATCAGCCAACTCTAAATCATGCAAGTGTGGAAATTCAGATATATCAAGGTTTGTCCCTAATGGTGTGCAAATGACAGGAAAACTTAAGGCTGAAATCGGGAAACACTGTCCGTCACGATTCTTGAACTCGAGCGAAAACTCTTGACATTTCTGTGTCTTGTATTTGTTATTACCGAAAGTGTTTAATCGTAAAGTCTCACGTTTTCCTGGCTTTAAATCTAGTTTAGCTCGTAAACTGTCCGTAATATAGGACCTTTGACTGCCATTATCAAAGAGAATTCTCACAGGTGTTGATCGCGAACCATCTTCATTTATTGCAGTTGTACATGCAGTTTGTAACAAAACGTACCTTTTATTCGTGCTCGGTGCAGCAGCCGTTGTGATACCTTCGGTTTCCTCCAAATTCTGATCTTCTGGTTTCGGAAGCTTAGACTCGTGCCCTTTACCGCAAATCGACTGGTGATGTGATCCATTACAATGCCGACAGTTTCTGGGGCTCCTACAATCTCTAACGTGGTGCCCCTTGTAGAGACACCTAAAACATCGAGCAGAATTCTTCAAAATTGCTTTACGCTCATTCACTGACACGACTTTCTCGCATGAGGCCGAATAATGCCAACCACTACAAAATACACACTGGATTTTTGACCCAGTTTGCCCATGATTCGACTGTCCATTAGAACTTGGAGGCTGTCCTTCACCACCTCTTGTACCAGCTAATAGACTGTTCGCAGTAGGTGTCTGACCTTTCACACCCTCGTCTCGCTTATTGGGGGCCCCCCTCTCTGTCGTTGACCTTGTCGCTTCGCTAACTTCACGCGCTTCAATTTCGAATTTGATAGTCTTAAGTAAGTCCTCGATTTTCCATACTTCCTTTGTAGCTTTTCGGGCTATCTCTAGACGAATGTCACTTGGCATTTTGGACATTATAATGGGAATCAACAAACTGCCATACTGTTCTGATGATACGCCTAAGGAAGCTAGTCCTCGTACATGCACACTAATTTTATCGTACACAAACCTGAGGGATGTTAGACGATCTCCCGTACAAGCTTGTATTTTGAGCAGTTCATCCATGTGTGCAGTAATTATTTGCTGTGGTCGCCCGAAACGATCTTGTAAAATCTCTATTGCACTGTCATAATTTGCTCCGGTTAGAGTTAATCCTTGAATTGAACGTGATGCTGGGCCCTCCAATAGCGAATTCAAATAGTTAAATTTGTCTATCTTTGAAATCTCGTTATTATTGTGAATTGCGGATTCAAATGAATCCCAAAACGTATTCCATTTCGTTACTTGTCCCTTGAACTTTGTCAATGATAGTTTTGGTAACTTTGTTTTCGATGACGTCACTATTGATTCGGTTGCATTTGCACTACTAGTACTAGTGTCAAGATTGCTGTCATTGTGTATATTGATGCTATCGTTAATTCCACCCACGTTTGCTGTGTTACTCTCAGTTTGATTTGAATTCTCGACTGTAAGGCTCGCATTCGATGTGCTACTACCTTCGTTTTGACTTGAACCGTCGACATTTACAACTGAATTTCGACTAATTTGACTCACCGTATTCTTGCTTGTTTGTTCATATAAAAACTTCTCGACCTTCTTAATCGCGTTCAAAAGTCGTCCTTCTACTTCAGCTGCCTCTTCGATTTCGCCCTCGATATCTTTCACGTCGCATATTGTAATTATTTCCTCGTCAATTTCGTTCAACAGTTTCAACTTTTCTTGTAACAACTTGTTTATTATTTCGCCTCGACTCGTATCGCATTCATCGCTCGTAACTACCGCATCTACTTCCTTCGCAAGCTTCGTACTAACTCAGTAGAGTCGCACTGCTCGGAAGGTCGATTGTGATTGGTTATATGTAATTGGCGGTTGCAGTGGTTGCAGCCAATCATGTGTAAAGGAGCTGCAGGGAAAAACCTCGGGAAAAAGCTCTCGAATTATTCCAATATCAATCGAGTACCACGACCAGTATTCACGAAATTAATATCAAGATTTTGAACGAGTGGTTGCTTGTCTGTTATTTTTGGCTCTTTTTTAGTGGTTATGGATGTTAACAGTTGTGGAATCTTAACGTGTGGATGAAATTTCAGCGATATTTTCAGCGACTATAATATATACACTTTTGTTTATTACAGTATCGCCCGATATTTATATTAAAGGCGTTGTTACACTTTCACATCAACTTACAAATGAGCAAAAAATTGGAAAAACAATGTTGTGTCGATTAAAAAACAGCTCATAACCTTCTACATGTTTTTGAAATAATTTTTGTGTTAAAATTGGTCACGCGTAAACTTCTTTCGAAACATTGTTGCGTTCGTTGCGAGTTGGTGTTGAAAATTGCTATAAAAAGTTAAAAACTATAATTTACCTATAAGGCCAACTAGTTCATAAAGTGAAACATTAAAGCTTATAAGTATATTAATTCCAAAAGGCACAACTATAGAATACCCCACAAGGTTATTTAACTGTCTATTCAAATAACTAATTCATACACTAGAAATGAATAACTATTTATTGATTTGTTTTCTTTTAACATTTCATATAAAATCATACTTTATAATATATGGATTTTCATAAAGTTTAGAGATGTGGGGTCATTTACTAAAACGTGTTTTATTCATGGTGGGGTATTCTATAGTTATTCCATTGGTGAGTAAAATTATCTGTACCAAACACTATAGCTTATGGTAATTAATTACAGTGGACAATTAATTACCTATTACTGGTTGATGGGGACTTTGGCACTTTTATCAATTTAATTGTCCAATTTTGGATAATTAAAATATCAAGGTATGGATGAAATTCCATCTGTTAAATCACAGTTGGTTGAAGGATGAACAGTATCCCTTGATTAACCATGGTTAAAATGTATTAAAGATCTTTGAGGCCTGTTGTCCAGTAACACCCTTTTGTTTCTATTACTGGAACTCTGGAATGTTATGTTAATATGGTTTTGAATTGAAATTTGTTTTCATTAAATCACTGCCCTTTGTCCTCTGCGACAGCTTTATGCCCCTCCCTAGTGAAGGTCTTGTGTAACAGTGCTATTGTACTGGTAGTAGATAATGTAACAGTGCACCATTGTAATTAGATAATGTAACAGTGCACCATTGTAATTAGATATGACAGTCTTGAGCACATGTATATAGGGAGCACGAGAATGAAATAAAAGACTCTTAGAAACTGAATTCAACGTGTGTGTGTCTCAGGCAGCTCGGCCCGTTACACTTGAGTGTATATATTATCCAAAATAGCCATGTAATGATCCAAAGTATAATCTTCCTTCAGGAATTGCAAGTAAAGTCAGAACACCCAAAAATGGCAGTCTAAAACGCGGAATGGAACATTTGAGATTCTGAATTTTTATTCGTTTTTATTGCTAATTTGCAATACTTCTTGTATAAATGGGTAAATAAAGCCCCATTAGTTCGTACTATCCGTATTTATGTACGTATGTATAATGTAGCGACGTAATTGCTTGAATGTTTTTGAATGTGCATGGCGATAATTACAGAGATCTGAGAATAGATGTCAATCATAACGCTGTCAATCAATCATTGGTTTGGAATTGCACGTGTTCTGTTCGACCGCATTCTTCGTTTTCGGAAGTTGTTATGTAATCCAAGCTGATAAACTTGCCTTTTTTTGAATTGTGATCGGAAAATATTTCTTTCAAACTAAAGATTTTCTATTTCATCGTGTTAGCTACGCCCTTGGGAACCGAGATCGGAGTATAACTAAACTTTAGGTAAGTAAATTCTCTTCTTTTATTTTACGACGTTGTAAACAACTGATCAAGTAGATGCGTGTTTTCCTTTTTAAAGCATAACGATAGCTTTTAATTTAGTGAGTAAAATATGTACAGCACAGGAAATGCTATTTCTCCTCAAAGCCTTTTTGGACATAAGCCGCTCGAAAGCCTGTATATTTGAAAATCTCTCGTTGGCTGAAGTTGCCGAAAACAATCACACATGTACAAGTCTGTAATCATGAAATAGTAATCGAGATTTTATTGTTGAGATTCAGCAAAAATGAAATTTTTTGGTTGTACACATTTTTACAGCTAGTGTAACTGTATTGTAATATATGCACAGGAAAAAAAGACAACAGTGTTTTAAAATAAACAGTCTATACCAATATTTCGGAATTTAGATGTCGGCGACACGGTGTTGATAGATCGTAGATCATGCAGGGTCTTTGTATTCCGAATAAAGAATTATATATCATCGACAAATAAATCATGAAAAGACTATGTTTACACCACTGAAATACAGAATAGATGGAAGGATGGAAACTGAAGCCGAATTTCGGTCGGCTTTCAACATTAACATTCAAATTTTTGAACAGGCATTTTTTCTTCAAATCTCCCAACATTTTTATATCTATTGGCATACCTAAAAAGTACATTGTATGTGTAGTACCCGGTAGATGTCGTGTGCCGCAACTATATTTTCTTTTTCTTAGGGTTGTCGCTATGAGCTCAGCCTCAGGCTCAGCCATAAAAACGAGTACCAAGCGAGGGGCAAGTAGCTGTCCTCAATGCCATGCTACTTACTTTAACCGATATAAGCCACCGAACTGCCCAACGTGCAACTACGATCTGGGTGGCACATATATTCCAAGAAAGAAAGCGCGTTTGGCAATACCAGAATGCACTGAAATACTTAAAGGAGAAATGGCAATATATTCATCAAAGACCAGCTGTCACGACGACAGATGTTTGCTGGTGATTGAAAAGAATGGAAAAATTTGTCATCACCCAGAGTGCAAGGACATGCGGGCTGTTCTAGTAAACAGCGACCAACTGGCAAGTTTTGAATGCAAACATCTGGAAAAGGTGAAGAACTCCATTGAACCGCTGGCAAAATACATCAACTTCCCGGTGCTGGAGGCATATCCGTGTGATTTAACAACAAAAGCTGCACTGACCGAAGTAAAAACGACATGCGGCGAACATTTACCCATTGCAGTTCAGGTTTCCCCAACAATGTACTGCGTTTTTGGAAAGCCGACAGCTAACAACCCAGTTGGATACTGCCATGTCCGAGTGACGGAGACCACTGTGCGATGCTGTTCGAAAGATTGCAAGATGATGATAGGAAAGAGCAAACAACTGAAATCGAAGTGTCTCTGCATTCACGTGCATATGCTCCTGTGCTTGGGTATTGTCAAGAAAGATTCACCTGCGATGGGCAACGCCAACGACGAACCTACGCACAATGCCGTCAACGCCGAGAATGAAGACCACCAACAAGTTTCGGAAAGCCTGTCACGCTCAAATACAATTGAGCTAAACATGAAACGTTCACTGCCTACTCCCATTCCAAAAGAGATCATTTGCAAACCAGGAGTAATAGATTCGTCACCTGCTGGGTGGCCAGAAATCCTTGAGCCATCGGAAACATTATGTGGTTTATGTAGTAGTCCTCTTGGGGAAGGGAAAGCACACCATGGTTCTAGAGGGAAATCGTATTTGTTGACGGAGTTGAATCCCTTTAAAGAGATAAAAGTTCGCGTGAAAATGTGCACCAACACTAACTGCTCAGCAATGAATCAAATTTTCCCGTATGAGCTTGGTATGTTTAAGTAGTTTCTTTAATTCTTGTTGATAAAAATACGTTTTGAAGCCTATTCACACGACCCGTTTTTTGGGTACTGATTTTTTCCATGGATACTGACAAGTCAGTGAGGTATCAGATCCAGCCAAAAAGAAACGGGCCGTGTGAACAAGCGTTCTCGAGGGCAAAGCGGGCATTTATTACAGTGACAAACAACATTTGTTATAAAAGTGTAAGTTCACATGCAGTACTAGTTACCTAACTACTAAAAATAAGACCCACAATATGTCATGGACCAGAAAATATGTTCATGGACTGCTTATATATGAGCCCGTTGAGCTGCGTTGATTTTGGTTTCTAGGGTTAAGGGTAAGCTCCCGAGATGCATATTTTTCCAATTACCTCTTTCATTTTCAGGTCTTTTCAACATAAGCGACAAGATTCTAGTCCCGTTTCAAATTTTGCTGGAATGGAGAGAATTATTTAGAAAAGGAGTTCCAATCTCAATAGCGATAATAAGCAAACTTAATGCGATGGCAGAAAGGGCTGCAGTAAGTATTCCTATAGTGTTTCAAATAGATAAACATATATTCTGATAATTGATACCCAAACTAATATTGCCATCAATATTGGATCAGCGATGTTGATTATTGGAAGGTGTAGCATATTCTTCGGTCGTTTAACTAACCTTTATTGCGGTTAGATAGTCATTTACATACGTGTAGCTACTAACGATTAACGATATATATTCGTCTTATACCAGACTAACTGCCTGACTGAATAACCTTTCAACACTGATGATATATGTTGATGACACATACAAACGGTTATCCGATCACTGATACTGTTATAAGCAGTCTAATTGCCGTGAAACTGTTTAATACCAGTGAGTCAATTCCTTACAGGAGCCGCCTGAACGAAATGTAATTGAAAACTTGGCAAACTACATTTACAATGGCTACTACTGCTTCGAGGCTATCACTGACCGTGATTTAGATTCTGTTGTATGTGGGATATGCGGTGTCATCGGAAATGTGTACTTTGGCGATGGAAATGAAAAAAACTGTTGCGGTATTGGCCAGGTAATTCACTCTTTCCTGTCAAATAATAACTATTGAAATTATCAGCAACTGATTGAAGAACTTCAAAGGGACATTATATAAGTATCAAATATTTGTATACCTAGCTTCGGGATGTATCGATATTCGATAGCCATTAAAAGGAGTCACGCATTTCGTATCATTTGGTATAGATAGACTATACGCAACCAGAAAATGTATCTGAAAGTTCGCCCCCGACATTGGAACCCTTTTTAAATAAAATAAAACGGCGGTGGGTAGAAAGCACCTCATATACGAAAACAGCAGAAAAATTCAAAGTGCACGTGGCTGATATCCCACCTGTAATTGCTCCGTCAATGAGAGGCACCCGCCTGTATAACACAGAGCTACAGAAGAACAGCACATTTCTGAAAGAGAATAAAAGCACAAAAGGTTTGTTTTTCTATTGTAACTCGTTTCCACTATTTGAGGCGACTTTTAAGTTCAGAGACATAATTAAGTAAGGCATATTCTATTAGATGTTCAATTTCATCAGCCAAACAGTAATGCAAAACAGCTTCATGAATATTCCTCCCTTTACCTCAATACTCCCTTTCGATAATCACGTCACCGGTCAATTGGCCCGCGAGCTTCGCTTAATGAATTGAAACCATCCTTATAGTATATACTTGAATGTTTAACTAATCGAAAGCGAGGCTCCCAGGCCAAATAAACAGTGAATTACGTAATTATCGCTTAGCATCGACCATCTAACGTTCAACTATTTTAGCCCAATTTGAGAATCTACAACAAAGTTCGCTAAATCAGTTAATATTATATACATAAATTTTACTTGCACCTTACTATTGTCTATTATCAAAAGATTAATCAAGAGCACAGTAAGAGACTTTAAAGCACATACGCGGTGTGCAATAATTGCCTTCGAATATGTTTACTAATATACAGCACTAACTTGTTCTCCAGGTGATCCTGCATTACTGCATTCCATTATTCGAGAAGGAAAATTGGATATGACCAAGTTAAGAGAGCTTGATGAAACATCGCTGAAGTCCTTTTGCCAAGATTGTCGAATCCCAATCGGGGGAAGTCAATGGTGAGTGGTTTTTCAGAGTTTTAAACATGCGAGTATTACATATATATGTACTACCGGATGAGCGGGGAGATGTTTTCGTGGTTAGCAATTAAACAATATACTGCTGTTACATTGGAACTCAGAGGTAGCCATAGAACAGAACATATAAAATAGTTGAATAGTCAATTCATAATATCTATTTCAATTTCTACTCTACAGGAAAAAATGCGTGTTGCATTGCAGACCTTATATGAAACACTATTGGTGGGATCAAGCCCCTGTCATGGCTTTACGAAAGTTCCTGGTCAAACTGGTGGTTTTTACCATATAGTTTGTCGTCATGGAGTGAGTAAATATTTAATAAACTGCAGTCAGTACTTGTAGTGTAGTTAATATCAACCATATATACTGATTGTTAAAATGCATAATTGCATCATTTTTCTTATAAGGTGACGCTGCTTCGAAATTCTTAACTCTGCAAGAATCTGTGAGAGATGCTGCAGACCTCTACCTTTCCTTCAAATATCCACCTTTGATGTTCCTGTGTGATACAGCATGCGGTTTCGCTCGCCATATGGATTGCCGTGTTCCAGAAGTAGCAAATCAGCTATGGGGAAAATTTTCTGGATGTTTTGAAGAACCAACTTTGGGGAAACCTCCTGCTAAGGTCATTTGACATTTATAATATGCTTATAATATTCAACACATAATTAATATATGAGGTACTCTACTAGTATTTTTGAATCTGTCCGACGCAATAGTAATTTACCTTTGACGATTGCCACAATCATCGCAATATAGCGAATTTGGGAAGTGTCTATCGAGATGTTACTATCTGTTTATAGGATAACAGTGTGCCAGTGCTTGCTACTGCCGAGTATAGGAGTGAGGCCACAGAAGCAACCTGCTATGATGATGGGACATTTAAGCATCCAATTACTGGGAATGCAAGAAGATATGTACTTGGTGATAGGTTTCATAATTCTGCGAACCCGCACAAGTCTCCTTTATGTGATTATCACGATATTAATCTTCTCCTGCAATCAAATACCATCAAGACAAGCTACCAGGAATGTGAGAATAACAGAAAAAACATCCGTCGACTCAGAAGTTCATGTGTGCAGGAATTTGGCACTCACTTTTTTTACAATTACCTCATGGACTACTTCCAAAATGAAGATATTGTGAAAAAGCAAAGGCAGCTGGCAGCTGCTAATTTGAAACCAAATCAGGAACTGAAAAGAGACAGGTTTCAACGTTTTGTTGTTATTAACAATGAGTGAAAGTTAGATATACCATCAAGTACAATGTTATGTACCAGTTAATGTAAATTATTAGGCCCAGTTTATACACAATGCTTGCCATCAGATCAAAACATGATATATCATGGCATGCAGTATTTACAATACCATACTTTGTTTGAAGCTGGTTTACGTTTTATACCAACACACACACTATAAAATGAAATAGAAATGTTTTCTTTGTAAAATATAGAAAAAAATGCAGGGCATCATGTAGTGGGTCACTTAAGCCCGCCGGTTTTCCACTGGGCGGAATTTTACGCGCGGAGAGGAATTTTTCATTGTCTGCGTGCTTTCATGCTCCGCTCCGCTCTGCCTTGTGGAAAACAGGCTTATTTTGGAGCAAGCTGAACTAATGAAGTGACAATTCACATGTATTCACTGTAATTACAAAACTATATTATACTTATTTCACGGCCGCACATAATGCACATTGTACTTACCAATGATGCCATTTACAACATTTATCACAGCCAACCCAATTTACCGCCTTGCCATAAATTAGATCCTCTGGGGGTTCATCTTGCCCACAAGTATCACACACAGATTCGTCATCATTGGATACTTAATGTTTAGAGATGAAATTCAAATAAGTTTAACAGGGCAATATAACGAATTAACGATACAATAGTCACCTACAGATCGTACTAGTGAAGTGCACATCATATACAGGGTGTCTCAAAAAAAACGCAACCACTTAAATATGCAGAACATTAATACAGCTCTAAAGCGCAATAGATACGCACCTCTGGGAATTGAAAATGGCGCTTGATCCTCATTTACAATGCTAGAAGTAATTTTAGCTGAACTATGGTGCAAACCCGAACAATATTAATATTCTTGCATATTTAAGTGGTTGCGTTTTTTTTTAGACACCCTGTATATGAGCGTATAAAACAATCAATAATTACATTCTATGGTATATAATGACTTATAGCTGTACAGCACGTTAATAAAAATTATTTTAAACTGCACACATATTTGAAGAGTTGTTTAAAATACGTTCTATTAAACTTTTATACGTTTAAAAATCGTTCTATTAGCATTATTAATAATACTAATTTCTGCAAGGCGGATTTGATTCTATGAAATTGCATATTATTTTTATATTTACCATCATTTGACAGCGTCTCTGTATCTCTTCTCAGAACCCCAACTGTTCCAGATACAGGTTCTGTGAACAGCGCCCTTCTTCCGTCTATGCATAAAAGTGCATAGTTACGTTTTTACATTAATATTTCTCAAAATAGTGTATGCCTGTTATGCCTAATCGTTCCCATAAACTGCGTATTGCTTATTTTAAATTTTGTAAAATGTTGTTGTGTTACATTATAAAAGTCTGAAGGGGTAAAATAAGGAGAAAATAAAGTATGGAGTGCAATCATTGATGTTAACAATTTGAATGTTATCATACATTCACATAAGTAATACAGCCGATTTACTACTGTCCCATTGAAGAATAGATCAGAAAATAAAAATAAAAACGGTAGAAATACAAAAGCTATTATATCTTGTATACTTACTACTCTTATAAGTATTTTGACTTCTTTCTTGGGTGAAAACCCCAACACAATCAGGCGCTATATCTTAAAGGATTGAAGAAGTCAATATAGTTATAGAAGTATAGTATTTTTAATACTATATAGCTACGAAATACGAATGATGCAACTTAAAGGCACGCGCGTAATGTTCAGTTGTCCTACTCGAGCTCTTGTTATGTCATGTTATTTGCATTTATTTCATCCATTTCGTTATTACCTTGATCATCATTTTGATCATTTTCATGATCATTTTCATCATCATTTTTATCATCATTTTCATCATCGTTTTCGTCATCGTTTTCATCATCATTTTTATCATCAATTTCATCATCATTTTCATCATCATCTCCTTTTTCGCCATCTTTACATGGATAAGAAATAATGTGTTATTTTTTATGCCAACCTAACCTAGACACAGTATAGTTCAACACGAATCAGACTAAATTGTAATGTATATACCTTGGTCGCTGTCATGTCCCTCGTATTGTTTGTTTGCTATTCGCATTCCGCTTTCAACACCCTTTAGAGAATAATCACCACATTTTAGAGAATAATCATAAATTGCAAAGTTATAACGCATATACTAGCTAATCATTGATTAATCGATAAATGGTTTTGATTGAATACTTCGGCAGTAGTTTTGAGCTATTTTTATTTCAATTTATATGTTAATTCTTGCGTTCTGCCTCAACAACTTTTCGCGGGGCCCACGAATTCTCTCGACGGCCCTGCATATCATAATCCATGCACGTACCTGAATGAAGACTTTTCGCTTTCTGGGAGTGAGAATATCATACTTTCTCTTGGAATTTGGTGACATATTCTATAAATATATTTAGAGAAAGCCTTACAAAGTTTTTTATTAAGAGTATAAAATCTAGGTGCATGTATAATCGGTATATTATTTACCATTTTGACTGGTATTCCTTAGTAAGGTCTTCGTTAACAATTGTTGACAATAACGATAACACAGAAATGCACAATACTTAATTCTAAAAAGAATTTGTTCTACTATACTTACGTCTGTAATGTGCTCTGATAGGTTTTCAGTAATTACTTCTTGCTCTTCTGAATGGACGTCATGGTTATCATCTTTAAATGGCAAAGTGGCATTATTGCTTGCATATATTTTTCCGTTTGTATGCAGTAAAATCGTATCAACAAGGAGAAAATACTATCAATAGGAATACCTGCAAAGATTTGGCGTATTGACTCAATAGTGACTTCGATTAAATCTTCCACTGTCTCGTCTATTTGCGCTTGGTTGCTACGCCTTCGGCTAACTTGAAATCGTTCACCTTGTTCCACGCCAAGTACACCACATGCTATACAATCAGGTAAGAATTCATAATATAATTATGCGACTTACCACATTCTACTTGCATGGTAATATTTAACAATTAGTCGCCGAAAGCGAGGTGATTACAAGCCTATATTCACTGAGCTGAGGCGAAGTGAATATTGGCTTGTAATCACCGAGCCTGTATGAGGCGACTATATAATTGTTTTAGTAAAAATTTCGAGGAGTTTACAAATAATAATCAACATAGTTTTATAAAAACGTATAATTACTTCAAATTTCTTAGTTAAATTACAACAACATATTCACGGGCCAGCTAGTGACTATCGCTTCAGTGACAGTGAATCTTGACCAATCAGAATGCAGGAATATGAATAGTTACCTCGAAATTTATACTAAATAGTATTCACTTTGTAGTTTATAATATATAATATATAAGACTTACCACATTCTACTTCGTTAACAAGGTTTTATCAAGCACGTGTTTAGGAATTTTTATGCCTTTTGCACCACGCGAGAGATTCTGATTTCGTTGTCTCAGATCTGCTATGGTTGTTTCGCTGCTTTTTGCGAAATACAGCGTCTGTGTTTTTCCCGTGTCGCACAACTTTAACAATTCTCGTTGAATCTCCTGTAAAATTAATAAAATGAAATGTTAACAATGTGAAATATGCTGCATGTTCCGCCACGAGTTCCATAACTTTATAAATATTTTTAAAATATGGTTTATATTATATATAGTAGCCATATATATGAGGTTACACATTTTATTTGCCTAGACGCCTCTGCCTCTGGTTCAAGAGAATTGCTTGTGCGAATGCATTTTGTGTATTACCTCTCTTCTTATGCTGGCAAAAGTCTCTAGAACTGAGATAGCTAGGCCGAACGCTGGCTGGAACGTGCCGCTGCATTTTACACTAGTGTGTGGCGTTATCCACTTCAATGCCGCCTGTAAACGAAATTGAAAAACATAACTGGAGAACATCGCCAAGGTATAAATTATAATATATATGAAATGTTCGATGTATTATGCAGGTCAATGCACATCACCAAGTAAATTGTTAAAGAAATTTATCAAATCTAACATTTGCTTCTCCCTCCTCCAGTTTAGACTGAATTTCTTCTTGAAGTCTTTCCAGAAAAGGCAATTCGTCTTCCTGTTTATTGGCAGTGGAGGCAAGTTGTAAAAATGCTTTTCTCAAATCCACCTCTTTCCCTGCAGCCACATGAAACTACAAAGTGAATAAATTGTAAGAATTGTCATAGAAAGCGTGATTTTGATACATACAATACAAACTTGGTTTGACAATAACTTTAAAAGAGATAATATCGCAATTAATATTGTGTCTTGTTAACATCTTGAGTTTACAAGATGTTAATTCTCGTAATATGTTTTCACAAAATTGTCTGCTAGTAAAGGTTTTTTGACTAAATATGTATAATAGGTGTTTAATGTAACATTTTACTATATTTTGCTAAGAAATAATTATAATGACACAACAAATGGCAGTTCTCACCTCATATACATATAACATCGAATTTGGACTAACCGTTGCGTAAGTGTATATGACCAGGGAAGCTCCTTTATACCAACGCTGGTCTCTCCCTGGCACTATTTTCTTCAGCGTCATCTTTATAGTTTTGATGTTGCCGTCTGTTATGCCTCTTTTCCAGATATTGTGATATCTTGTAATCCAAGCAACCACGAACCCCTTTATTGCAATATGATAAAATTGTTCTGAGAGTAGGAGATAGTAATTTTGAAAAACATCACCACAGACCGTCATCTGAATTAGCGTTTTTTCATTTGAAAATGCTCTGAAATATTCTTTTTATTTTTTTTTCTGTCTCTCTTAAGATTGGTGCCAGTGGGATCATTTGTTTATACAAAAGTGATGATGGTAGTTTATATTATAAAGAATGCTGGATAATACGAACCATATTTGCTTCTACTAATGATTGCAGCTCTTCCAGCATTTGTTCGTGTTCTTCTCCAAATTGTTCATCCTTTACATATTCGAAACGAATAACACGGCCATCTAATCTATACGGATATACATGTAATAGGAGGTTGGTACCAATACAGTTATGTCATTGACACGATAGTCTTATACATGAAAGATATACGAAGGGATTTTGCCCGAGGCCGAAATATCAAACGCAGTATATTCTTACCGAGGCGACGGTTTAATACTTATTACTTCCTGCATTTTATGGGTCACTCATTTATTTATAGAGAGATACCCTCTGGATAAAACTACCAATAGTAATATAGCCTTAGCAGTTTTGTTGTAAGGGCATTTGCAATTAAAAGAACACGTATGTAAATGTAATTAATACTTTGTGATGCTTTTTATATACAGGCAGGGCGTGATTTAGGCTATAAAGAGGAAACCGAGAAAACCTCGCTGACAGAGAGACCTCAAAGAGTGAACCGACATTAGTTACAATCTAAAAGAAGTATGCTATAAGCCGAACCTTTCGTTCTCCTTTTCGTTAGCCGACAGCAAAACACTGCCCACAGGAGACGCAATTCCGCTGAGCATTGATCCCTGTGGAAGGCCACCTTGGACTTGCAGAAGAAACTCAGCCAAAGAGTCTGTCATTTTTGCATCATCCATCATACAGGTGAACGACGAGCTCTTGAGTGCTAGCATTATAGCTTTTCTGAAAAGGTTTTGTATTAAACGTAAAGTCCATGCTATCGATCAAATTGATATCCTGTGCATTTTGAGTAACATAACAATAACATAAGCGATAAGGCTCATTATTTTTTTTTCTATACGTACATGGATGTACCGCTCATGGTTTGATCGCCACCTGAGCAGAGCAGGGAATGATTGCGATCGGCAGGCAATCCTTGTGCATTGGCCAACAAACTCAACGTCTCGGATTTGCCGACGTTCCGTGCACTGGAATACAGCAATCCAATATTGCTTTCCTCTAAAAATATTATCGATTAACGAGAAGGTGAGCAGATCACACAACCCCATGCTATATTATATACTTAATGAATATAGCAATCCTTTGAGTGCATTAATAGTACTACTCACTAAATGTACTTTTGTCCATTCCCCTCAAATTCCGCAGCAGAACAAAAGAGGTGGCTAACTTAAACGCTGTTGAGTTACTGGCGAAACCTTCAGCAAGCGCAATATATCTTAATATAAGTATAAAAAGGAATATTGAAATGAAACATATTCATAATAAAATTATCTTCGACATAGCTTTTCATCTATCTCACATACTGCACTTACCTTCTGCAAAAGGTCTTAAGCACCCCGTTGTTTTCAAGGAGATCGTATCTCATATCTGTCGAAAACCGATATGCGGATTCATCCAGTAAAAAGAACTTGAATTCTTCCTTTTGTAGTACGCGACCGTTTTCAATGTGGTGCTATAAATACATAAAAACATAATTAAAGGACGCATCCATGAACTGAACTGAAGTGACAGTCCTTGAACTGTTCAGAATCACGACATCAACTCTTATGACGACCTTTGTTCCATATAAATGTCGAACGATGAAAGGTATCGTAAATGATTTATTTACAAAACTTGGCACAATTATAATGCATTGTAAAATGTCATACATCTTTAGAAAGTATCCAATATCCATCTTTTTGGTAACCTAGATGGGTCGCTTTATAGAAACGTGGAGGCGCATTCCCGACGTCGTTTTTTAAGTGGCTGTAGTAGTCAGCTAGTCTGCTGCCTCCAACACTGCCAGCAAGGTTGAACGTTCCTCCACCAAATTTTTTGCGCAGTTCTTGGAGAAAACGGCACTTCGTGTCAAACGTTCCAGCAGACAATACAACAGTCCTATATTAAATAGATGAATATACTATATGCACGTCCACTGATACTGGCGGCCATCAAGAATTTTACTATTTAACAACTGGAATTTTCCAAGGAAAACGAAATAGTCTGTAGCCTGTAAGACGCAACGAAAACACGTATCTGAATTGGATGTTACTTATGTTCGGAGCCGCGAATAACAAAAAGATTGAGACGAAGTGACACTAATATTTTAATAGTACGTACCTATACGATATTCTGTCACCGGTAAAAACACCACAAGACGCTACCCAGTACCCTTCTACCCCTTCCGCATTAGCAGTTGCCTCTGGTGTTGGTACATTTTTTATTTCGCCTAGCAGTTTCAACATAAAATCACCAAAAAAAACGAGTTCGCCATCTTCCACCATGTACGTCTTACCATCACGCACTACGAACTCCTGTTCCAACTAAATATTATATAGTGAAATGAAAGATGGCAACTATGAATATGAAAATTATATGAATGAAACGAAGCGGTCATTCACCGCATAGTTTCGTCAAATTTAAGGATTAAACGAATTGTAGTAATTACCACTAAGTCAAAGACAATTAGCCTTTCTCACGATGACGAATGATTTCCCAAAATGGGGTACTTTTTTCAAAACACTGAGCGTAAGAACTCGTAAGGGCAACTGTCTTTAATTTCAGGCTGAATTTATTCTTCAAATGGTCTGTTGGTTCTGAAAAACGCTTTTGATGTTGCATCATAATTTTTAAACGCATTTCAGAAAATTGAAAGTACCCCAAAACGTCATCATCAGAAGGCTAATTGCCACATACCTCCGTAAAGGCTAATTGCTATTTTATTTGTGATTTGTGAAGCGTACTTAGCATTAATGCCGCGAATTTGTATCTCAGGGCGGGGGGGTCAAAGTTTAGAAGTCGAAAAGTTTGGCTAATTGTTAAAATCAGTCAGTCGAAAAAAAGTAAAGGATGAAATTATAAGTCCGACTTTTCCAAATTGCCGGTAAATTTGTTCATTCCGAAACCCATGCTATCTGGTTTACTGCCCACTCTGCTTTTAGAGTGTTTAAACGTTTGCTTTAACAATTTTAACAAGAATTTTACAAAAAAAATATTTACTGAAAGTTCTACTTAGGTAAAACGTTTTACAAAATCTATCCATACTCATCTATTTTACTTCTAAATAAAAAAGGACACCGGTCACATGATCAATAGTGAGCCAATTTGCTCATTAGTATTCCACATGTTAATATTCTTGCACGATTGCATGGCGCTATTTCGAAGTCCCATCGCTTTTACGAAAAGAACCAACCGTATTTGAAATTAAAAAATAACCCAATTACTCTTGTATATAAATACTAAACCTAAAGTTTTCATAAATCACATTCAATAATACATACAGATCGACAATTTTTCTCTACGATATTTGTTATGTCAAACGATGGGAAAATATAGCAAATAGGTTTATAATATTTCAGAAAGGTATCAATCGAGCAAAACAGAAGCATTAAATGTGTAAATCTATATAATACAGGCATCAATATATATATATATATATATATATATATATATATATATATTATATATATATATGATTTTAAATAAAGTACTACACTGACCTCATTTTCGATGTTTTCCATTGCAAAAAGGTTTTTTTAAAAATTATTCAGCCTCCAGAAAAAAACTTGTAGCGACTCGGCAGCAACAGCGCAGAAAAACAATAACAGGCCAAATTGGCGAGACAATTTGAACGCGATAATTTTTATTGATAATTTGTTAAGGTGGCTTTTTTTTCTCAACAAAAATGTGGCATTATATAATTTTTTTTTATATTTTGCTATTTGATAGTTTTTCTTCTAAGTAAAATAATGCACGAAAACAAAATTGGGGGTCACCGTGCAGTCATCGCAACCATTGCAACCACCGCAACCATTGCAACCATTGCAACCATCGCAACCATTGCAACCACCGCAACCATTGCAACCATCGCAACCATCGCAACCATTGCAACCACCGCACCATCGCAACCACCGCAACCACCGCAACACCGCAACCACAGCGACCATTGCAACCATCGCAACCACCGCAACCATTGCAACCACCGCAACCATCGCAACCACCGCAACCACAGCGACCATCGCAACCACAGCGACCATCGCAACCATCGCAACCATCGCAACCATCGCAACCATCGCAACCATCGCAACCATGGCAACCATCGCATCCATCGCAACCATGGCAACCATCGCAACCATCGCAACCATCGCAACCATCGCAACCATCGCAACCATTGGAACCATTGCATCCATGGCATCCATGGCATCCATGGCAACCATCGCAACCATCGCAACCATTGCATCCATCGCATCCATGGCATCCATGGCATCCATGGCAACCATCGCCATCGCAACCATCGCAACCATTGCATCCATCGCATCCATGGCATCCATGGCAACCATCGCAACCATCGCAACCATCGCAACCATTGGAACCATTGCATCCATCGCATCCATGGCATCCATGGCATCCATGGCAACCATCGCAACCATCGCAACCATTGGAACCATTGCATCCATCGCATCCATGGCATCCATGGCATCCATGGCAACCATCGCAACCATCGCAACCAACGCATCCACCGTACCCATGGCAACCATCGCACCCATCGCATCCATCGCATCCATCGCATCCACGGCGACCACGGCGACCATTGTAACCATTGCAACTATTGCAACCACTTAGGACGAATACCGTCACCGCCGAATTTCTGATGTTCATTGTTCGTACTCATTTAATTATTAATTTCAAAAATATGCTCAGGGAAAACTCCTTCAGCTAACAGCCAATGCCAACACAGCTTCCGAGCACTGCGAGATTACCCGAATTCATAAACGTCGTTCCCATGTAAACTTCTTTTAGATTTCTTATGTTTCTTCTCCATAGTTATTATAAACAATTTCTTCCCATAATATATTGTCCTCACACATTAAAATCCTCTGAAAATTTAAAAAAAAAACAGCAATAAAAAGCACACAAATCACCCTACAGAGTTTGCCTTTGTAGATTTGACCAGTGTTTGTCTGTCCAGTTTGTTTAGATCAGTGCCAAACAAAATGGCGGGTATTATTCGAAATGTTTTGAAGTATGGTCATATTTCTAGCATTTGTTGTAGAAGTATATTAACAAGATCAACGCTACAACTGGTAGGCAAGCGGTTTTGTATATATACTTCGTGCTCAATTATGTCTTCAAAATATGAACGTTTGAATAAGAAGTCAATATGGGGCGTTAGAAACTAGAAAGAAAGCAAGTTCAATATTGCCCAGGCTTTCAAGTTTTAAGGGCACTTTTTAATACAAAAAGAGCACCCTGAAGAAAATTTCTAATGACTAAATGGGTATTCCATTAATATTTTTTAATTTTTTAGCCAGGCATACAAATTAATGTTGAAGGGGGGTGGGGTTAATCTGCATAACACATACTCCCTCAGTGCCTGACTGCTGCCTGTGGTTTGTTATGTATGCCTCCACAGTTAGTAGGATGCCTCTGAAATTAATATACTGTGTGACCCATACAATACAATGGCATAAGTGATCAAAGCAAATCAGATTTTTGCTGCCCCCCTATAAATTTTGGCAGGCCCAACTAATTGAACTCTGTATTAAATTAATGATTACAGTTTAAGTTCTCAGAGGATTTTAACAAGACCCCTTGCAACAAAATATGGCCAGGACATAATCCTATACCATTATGAGCGTTATGGTTTCTATAAAATACTGGCTGTGGCCTCACTGAGTCAGCTTGTTTTCTGGAGTTATATGTCATATGTGATGTATGTGTACATACGACCAGCATCACAGATACTTCAAGAACATAAAAAGAAGAATAAAACTACTGAAAGTCATGATGAACACATTGGTTTTAAATATTTCCCAAAATTTTTACTGGATTCAAAGGTACTGAAAAGAAAACAAAAAGTACAGGGACAAGGGCATGTATGTAATGTTATAGAGGGCTTTAAAAGACAACAGCATTCACTCCCCATCACACTTGCTGTTTAAATACCAGACTTAGATTTCAATGTTTGAGGTACATACTAAAAACAATGTGCCCTGCCCATATCATCACAGGAATTTACAGGTTGTTCATTGTTGGAATTGAATCGAATCAGATGTAACAATATTGTTCAATGTTGATAACAACTCGGAACAATGTGAACAGCATAACATTGTTCCATCCTTTTCATATCAACATTACAACAACCTGAATCATTATTAGGCATATATGTACCCAATTTATTCTTCATATTACTGAATGTTAATTTGAATATAATTATTTTCAGACCCAAACTGTAGTCTCCATAGCTTCCCTTGGAATGGGAATGTTCTTTTTTACTGGATGCTTATATGCCTTACGGTTAGTTAGTAGCATTTTTTTCCTGATTCAAATTTGTTTTCTTGTATATGACCTTTGAACAAACCTTTCATACACATAGGTCAGTAAATCAACTAGTTCTCCTCAGAGATGGAGCACATATCCTTGTGAAAACATATACACCTTACGGTAGCAGCAAACTGTTTAGCGTTCCGCTCACTGATGTATCCTGTTTGGGATCACGATTAGGTACGTATAGTACGTATAAATGGCATTATTTATTGCTAACCATTATGCCTCCTTAGTGACAGAGGATAATGGTCAACAGACATAAATCAACAAGTCATAAAAAGGAGAATACATTTGTACTTCAACACATGTACCCAACTATTGTAACGTCGCTTATCTTACAATGCACAGGCTAAGCAGAAAAAAATAACCTTGGTCCTTGGACCTTCCGGAATAAGGCCATTGCTCGTCTTTCTAAACTTCATCTTTCTTCTCTGCTCGTAGATGAGAAGGCGTTTGTCGTTTTCAAGATAAGAGATCGTCGTTTCTACTACATGTTGGATAAACGTGGGGAGTTTTTGCAACCCACCATTTTTGACACAACTGTGGGAGTAAAACGCTGGAACTTATAACACTGAAACTTCTGTGTATAGTTTATTTTAATAGAATTACATTCTCCATAGAAATTTTATATAGCTGACAAACTACTACGACAAGAAGCCAAACCAGTCTGAGAGTGATTTGTCGACTATTGTTTGGCTATCTATGTTTGGCTATCTATGTTATTACGTTCTAAGAGCGGCTCTGATTAAAGTGTTCAGCTTTTACATGTTACTCGATCAAAGTTATTATTGTCTATTAAGAACGATTTGCTGAAAAACTTTGCAATATAAAAATATATTTACTATAATATAATTAAAAATAAATCTATCACTCTAAGTTATATATAAATAAATATGCTATACTAACTATTTATAAATTGTATTATTTGTCCTAAATATAATTAATAGTCCCACTCTATATCCATCAAAATATCAACGTCGTTCCCAGTCCCAGATTCACCACTTACCAGAGCCCTAACCAAACGTCAAGGCAAAATCACTTATATCTGTCTCAACGTGGTTTTAGCCGTACTGAATTTGACCTAGACCTAGAAAGATCAATCATACAATTAGTGCACGTAAGTTGACGTAACTAGAGATGTGAAGAATCGGTAGATCACAGAGGGACTTAAGAGTGAAGGAAGACGTAAACATTGTTAAAACGAGAAACGACTAGTCTTCTTGCATTTATATATATAGTCCCACCCTTTTTTCTGTTTCTGTTTCTTTGTATGGTCAGAAATTCACCACAGCATGCAAGGACCTTGAGTAATGTTCTTATTCTTAGCCGTGTTACCTTATTGTCCAGCGAGGAGAGGATCAAAAGCGTAGAGCCATTCATGAAACTCTTCTTTTGGTTCACTGGTTAAACCAGATATCCGCGATGTTTAGCTTGCAAGGAGATAATATTTACCTAAAAGATTTGGAAAAGTCTAGTGATACCACAGGGTTAGCCTCGAAAAGGTTGCGCTACTATATGAAGATCTGTGGCAGACGACCGAGCGCCTGGGGAGACACGACAAGCTTGTTCGCTCCTGAAACCATTGATCTCTATATAGTAACTGAATACAATTCGTTATCGGATCAATCGCCTGGTTATGAATCAGGCTACAACACGAGGAGAACAAAGTGTCCAGAAAAACTGGATCGAGGGTCAAACAGAAGCATTCCTTAGATGATTGAGGGAGGAAAATAATCAGGCAAATGAATATCAGAAGAAATTTAGTTAAAGCCAAAGATACACCATATACCTGAAGATCTTTATCGTCTTCGTGACATGAAACTTTCGTGTGACATAAATTTACGATACTTCTTTCAATCTATGAATTGAAAACCACTTTATTAAGCAAATCACGAATGGCAAATCACTATTTATCTATAGTAAAGTGAACCCAAAGATTACCAACCAAAATACCTGGTCGTCCTCTGTGCGATAAAAAAACGCATAAGGTCTTCTGATCACCTAATGTAAAAAATGTGGCTCAATTTCATTGAAAGAACTGGTTGTTCATCAATGCATACAGTACACCACCTTAATACTTCTACCAAAGTGAAACAGCTCTACTACCCACACAGGTCTCGTCCTCTCACGATAAAACCCATGTTACAATGCACCTGAACACCACAGAAATAAAAACTATTTTACTTATCGCTTTATTAAACTGTTCGGAACTGACCATCCAAATTTTCCTCCAACGACAGGAATCATCCTCCAAGAGCAGAAGAAAACCTTTCTTCGAAACAACATTACTAAAACAAAAATACCAGAAATTATACACTACATTGACTGACGCAGGACAACTGGGGATACAGGAAATTGATCTTCACTTTTTCACAATCTCTCTTATTTCTTTTCTCATGCCTGTCATGAGCTGACTGCAAGATTGTTGACCTTTCCAAGTTGTAATAATTTCTATAAAACGCGAGAAATTAAAGGATTACAAAATATCATAAAGTAAAATATAGGTCATTGCATGAATATGGTATATATATATATATATATATACGCAAATTTGGATCTGTGCGTAGTAAATCAGAGTGCTCAATACCAATACAATAGTAGAGCAAATAAATCAACAAATTACAATCTTAAAATTTTTTAAAATTTTATTTCGCTACACTGTGTTTCACGTACTTCTACCGTGTACGATCATCAGGCGATTACTATAAACACGCAATTAAGATGTAACGGTTATGCACACGCGTTTCTGATTGTTAACGCAAGCGCTTAAATGTACCAGTTTGCGCGCGCTTAACGTAACAGGCCTTAAAGCCAAATCTATGTCGGCATCTACTGAATATTTCAGATCTTTTGTTCAACGACTCTTCTTTATTAGATAACATGATAAGCCTTTTTTCCTCAATACACAGCGGGCAAACATTCATTCCGGGTTCGCCGAGGGAACTTGTTTCATTATCGACCATTTTATTTGGAATGGTTCGTGTTGCGCTTTAAGCTTCCAAATATATTTTGATAGTTCCGTTTCACCGGAGTAACATTCATGCTTGAATGATTTTAGATGGTTGCTGTATCTTAGTTTGAAGCTGCCTGCTGTCATACCAATGTAGTGCTTGATCTCTTTCCCATTGTTAGATCGGACTTCTGCTTTGTATACGATGCTTTTCGTTAGGCAATTGCCGTTTAATGGGCATTCGTCTTTAACTCGACAGTTACATGGTTTCAAGGTAGGTTGAGAGCTAGCATTTTGTTACTTTAGAATTCTATGGTTGCTGCTTGATATTGACGATCTGACATTTTTCATACAGGAGTAACTCACTTTCACCGAGTTCCGATTGAAAATTTTATGAAGAGGGCACGATTTTGGAAAATGCTTATCAATCAGACGAAGAAACCTTCCCGCTACGTTTGTTTTTACGTTCTTACTATAGGGTGGGTTGTACCAAATAATGTTCCTTGAACGCGTTCTTCTTGTTGGTTTAGAATCATTAGTATTCTGCTCGTAACTTAATGTGGTGTTAAAACTACTGTGTCTCAGTGCATCTTCATAAATTGGTGCATCATCATAAATAAGTCATCTGATAAATCCTCTCTTTCATCTGATAAATCCAGTTTTGATTTGGCTGCACCAATTTATGAAGATGCACTGAGACACAGTAGTTTTAACACCACATTAAGTTACGAGCAGAATACTAATGATTCTAAACCAACAAGAAGAACGCGTTCAAGGAACATTATTTGGTACAACCCCACCCTATAGTAAGAACGTAAAAACAAACGTAGCGGGAAGGTTTCTTCGTCTGATTGATAAGCATTTTCCAAAATCGTGCCCTCTTCATAAAATTTTCAATCGGAACTCGGTGAAAGTGAGTTACTCCTGTATGAAAAATGTCAGATCGTCAATATCAAGCAGCAACCATAGAATTCTAAAGTAACAAAATGCTAGCTCTCAACCTACCTTGAAACCATGTAACTGTCGAGTTAAAGACGAATGCCCATTAAACGGCAATTGCCTAACGAAAAGCATCGTATACAAAGCAGAAGTCCGATCTAACAATGGGAAAGAGATCAAGCACTACATTGGTATGACAGCAGGCAGCTTCAAACTAAGATACAGCAACCATCTAAAATCATTCAAGCATGAATGTTACTCCGGTGAAACGGAACTATCAAAATATATTTGGAAGCTTAAAGCGCAACACGAACCATTCCAAATAAAATGGTCGATAATGAAACAAGTTCCCTCGGCGAACCCGGAATGAATGTTTGCCCGCTGTGTATTGAGGAAAAAAGGCTTATCATGTTATCTAATAAAGAAGAGTCGTTGAACAAAGATCTGAAATATTCAGTAGATGCCGACATAGATTTGGCTTTAAGGCCTGTTACGTTAAGCGCGCGCAAACTGGTACATTTAAGCGCTTGCGTTAACAATCAGAAACGCGTGTGCATAACCGTTACATCTTAATTGCGTGTTTATAGTAATCGCCTGATGATCGTACACGGTAGAAGTACGTGAAACACAGTGTAGCGAAATAAAATTTTAAAAAATTTTAAGATTGTAATTTGTTGATTTATTTGCTCTACTATTGTATTGGTATTGAGCACTCTGATTTACTACGCACAGATCCAAATTTGCGTATATTAATATAATATTATATATATTACCATATTCATGCAATGACCTATATTTTACTTTATGATATTTTGTAATCCTTTAATTTCTCGCGTTTTATAGAAATTATTACAACTTGGAAAGGTCAACAATCTTGCAGTCGACAGCAGTCACGTGACAGGCATGAGAAAAGAAATAAGAGAGATTGTGAAAAAGTGAAGATCAATTTCCTGTATCCCCAGTTGTCCTGCGTCAGTCAATGTAGTGTATAATTTCTGGTATCAGTTTTGTTTTAGTAATGTTGTTTCGAAGAAAGGTTTTCTTCTGCTCTTGAGGATGATTCTGTCGTTGGAGGAAATTTGGATGGTCAGTTCCGAACAGTTTAATAAAGCGATAAGTAAAATAGTTTTTATTTCTGTGGTGTTCAGGTGCATTGTAACATGGGTTTTATCGTGAGAGGACGAGACCTGTGTGGGTAGTAGAGCTGTTTCACTTTGGTAGAAGTATTAAGGTGGTGTACTGTATGCATTGATGAACAACCAGTTCTTTCAATGAAATTGAGCCACATTTTTTACATTAGGTGATCAGAAGACCTTATGCGTTTTTTTATCGCACAGAGGACGACCAGGTATTTTGGTTGGTAATCTTTGGGTTCACTTTACTATAGATAAATAGTGATTTGCCATTCGTGATTTGCTTAATAAAGTGGTTTTCAATTCATAGATTGAAAGAAGTATCGTAAATTTATGTCACACGAAAGTTTCATGTCACGAAGACGATAAAGATCTTCAGGTATATGGTGTATCTTTGGCTTTAACTAAATTTCTTCTGATATTCATTTGCCTGATTATTTCTCCTCCCTCAATCATCTAAGGAATGCTTCCTGTTTGACCCTCGATCCAGTTTTTCTGGACACTTTGTTCTCCTCGTGTTGTAGCCTGATTCATAACCAGGCGATTGATCCGATAACGAATTGTATTCAGTTACTATATAGAGATCAATGGTTTCAGGAGCGAACAAGCTTGTCGTGTCTCCCCAGGCGCTCGGTCGTCTGCCACAGATCTTCATATAGTAGCGCAACCTTTTCGAGGCTAACCCTGTGGTATCACTAGACTTTTCCAAATCTTTTAGGTAAATATTATCTCCTTGCAAGCTAAACATCGCGGATATCTGGTTTAACCAGTGAACCAAAAAGATAAAGAGTTTCATGAATGGCTCTACGCTTTTGATCCTCTCCTCGCTGGGACAATAAGGTAACACGGCTAAGAATAAGAACATTACTCAAGGTCCTTGCATGCTGTGGTGAATTTCTGACCATACAAAGAAACAGAAACAGAAAAAAGGGTGGGACTATATATATAAATGCAAGAAGACTAGTCGTTTCTCGTTTTAACAATGTTTACGTCTTCCTTCACTCTTAAGTCCCTCTGTGATCTACCGATTCTTCACATCTCTAGTTACGTCAACTTACGTGCACTAATTGTATGATTGATCTTTCTAGGTCTAGGTCAAATTCAGTACGGCTAAAACCACGTTGAACAGATATAAGTGATTTTGCCTTGACGTTTGGTTAGGGCTCTGGTAAGTGGTAGAATCTGGGACTGGGAACGACGTTGATATTTTGATGGATATAGAGTGGGACTATTAATTATATTTAGGACAAATAATACAATTTATAAATAGTTAGTATAGCATATTTATTTATATATAACTTAGAGTGATAGATTTATTTTTAATTATATAGTAAATATATTTTTATATTGCAAAAGTTTTTCAGCAAATTCGTTCTTAATAGACAATAATAACTTTGATCGAGTAACATGTAAAAGCTGAACACTTTAATCAGAGGCCGCTCTTTCAGAACGTAATAACATAGATAGCCAAACATAGATAGCCAAACAAATAGTCGACAAATCACTCTCAGACTGGTTTGGCTTCTGTCGTAGTAGTTTGTCAGCTATATAAAATTTCTATGGAGAATGTAATTCTATTAAAATAAACTATACACAGAAGTTTCAGTGTTATAAGTTCCAGCGTTTTACTCCCACAGTTGTGTCAAAAATGGTGGGTTGCAAAAACTCCCCACGTTTATCCAACATGTAGTAGAAACGACGATCTCTTATCTTGAAAACGACAAACGCCTTCTCATCTACGAGCAGAGAAGAAAGATGAAGTTTAGAAAGACGAGCAATGGCCTTATTCCGGAAGGTCCAAGGACCAAGGTTATTTTTTTCTGCTTAGCCTGTGCATTGTAAGATAAGCGACGTTACAATAGTTGGGTACATGTGTTGAAGTACAAATGTATTCTCCTTTTTATGACTTGTTGATTTATGTCTGTTGACCATTATCCTCTGTCACTAAGGAGGCATAATGGTTAGCAATAAATAATGCCATTTATACGTACTATACGTACCTAATCGTGATCCCAAACAGGATACATCAGTGAGCGGAACGCTAAACAGTTTGCTGCTACCGTAAGGTGTATATGTTTTCACAAGGATATGTGCTCCATCTCTGAGGAGAACTAGTTGATTTACTGACCTATGTGTATGAAAGGTTTGTTCAAAAGGTCATATACAAGAAAACAAATTTGAATCAGGAAAAAAATGCTACTAACTAACCGTAAGGCATATAAGCATCCAGTAAAAAAGAACAATATTCCCATTCCAAGGGAAGCTATGGAGACTACAGTTTGGGTCTGAAAATAATTATATTCAAATTAACATTCAGTAATATGAAGAATAAATTGGGTACATATATGCCTAATAAGATTCAGGTTGTTGTAATGTTGATATGAAAAGGATGGAACAATGTTATGCTGTTCACATTGTTCCGAGTTGTTATCAACATTGAACAATATTGTTACATCTGATTCGATTCAATTCCAACAATGAACAACCTGTAAATTCCTGTGATGATATGGGCAGGGCACATTGTTTTTAGTATGTACCTCAAACATTGAAATCTAAGTCTGGTATTTAAACAGCAAGTGTGATGGGGAGTGAATGCTGTTGTCTTTTAAAGCCCTCTATAACATTACATACATGCCCTTGTCCCTGTACTTTTTGTTTTCTTTTCAGTACCTTTGAATCCAGTAAAATTTTGGGAAATATTTAAAACCAATGTGTTCATCATGACTTTCAGTAGTTTTTATTCTTCTTTTTATGTTCTTGAAGTATCTGTGATGCTGGTCGTATGTACACATACATCACATATGACATATAACTCCAGAAAACAAGCTGACTCAGTGAGGCCACAGCCAGTATTTTATAGAAACCATAACGCTCATAATGGTATAGGATTATGTCCTGGCCATATTTTGTTGCAAGGGGTCTTGTTAAAATCCTCTGAGAACTTAAACTGTAATCATTAATTAATACAGAGTTCAATTAGTTGGGCCTGCCAAAATTTATAGGGGGGCAGCAAAAATCTGATTTGCTTTGATCACTTATGCCATTGTATTGTATGGGTCACACAGTATATTAATTTCAGAGGCATCCTACTAACTGTGGAGGCATACATAACAAACCACAGGCAGCAGTCAGGCACTGAGGGAGTATGTTATGCAGATTAACCCCACCCCCTCCCCCCTTCAACATTAATTTGTATGCCTGGCTAAAAAATTAAAAAATATTAATGGAATACCCATTTAGTCATTAGAAATTTCTTCAGGGTGCTCTTTTTGTATTAAAAAGTGCCCTTAAAACTTGAAAGCCTGGGCAATATTGAACTTGCTTTCTTTCTAGTTTCTAACGCCCCATATTGACTTCTTATTCAAACGTTCATATTTTGAAGACATAATTGAGCACGAAGTATATATACAAAACCGCTTGCCTACCAGTTGTAGCGTTGATCTTGTTAATATACTTCTACAACAAATGCTAGAAATATGACCATACTTCAAAACATTTCGAATAATACCCGCCATTTTGTTTGGCACTGATCTAAACAAACTGGACAGACAAACACTGGTCAAATCTACAAAGGCAAACTCTGTAGGGTGATTTGTGTGCTTTTTATTGCTGTTTTTTTTTTAAATTTTCAGAGGATTTAATGTGTGAGGACAATATTATGGGAAGAAATTGTTTATAATAACTATGGAGAAGAAACATAAGAAATCTAAAAGAAGTTTACATGGGAACGACGTTTATGAATTCGGGTAATCTCGCAGTGCTCGGAAGCTGTGTTGGCATTGGCTGTTAGCTGAAGGAGTTTTCCCTGAGCATATTTTTGAAATTAATAATTAAATGAGTACGAACAATGAACATCAGAAATTCGGCGGTGACGGTATTCGTCCTAAGTGGTTGCAATAGTTGCAATGGTTACAATGGTCGCCGTGGTCGCCGTGGATGCGATGGATGCGATGGATGCGATGGGTGCGATGGTTGCCATGGGTACGGTGGATGCGTTGGTTGCGATGGTTGCGATGGTTGCCATGGATGCCATGGATGCCATGGATGCGATGGATGCAATGGTTCCAATGGTTGCGATGGTTGCGATGGTTGCCATGGATGCCATGGATGCCATGGATGCGATGGATGCAATGGTTCCAATGGTTGCGATGGTTGCGATGGTTGCGATGGTTGCCATGGATGCCATGGATGCCATGGATGCGATGGATGCAATGGTTGCGATGGTTGCGATGGTTGCGATGGTTGCCATGGATGCCATGGATGCCATGGATGCGATGGATGCAATGGTTGCGATGGTTGCGATGGTTGCCATGGATGCCATGGATGCCATGGATGCAATGGTTCCAATGGTTGCGATGGTTGCGATGGTTGCGATGGTTGCGATGGTTGCGATGGTTGCCATGGTTGCGATGGATGCGATGGTTGCCATGGTTGCGATGGTTGCGATGGTTGCGATGGTTGCGATGGTTGCGATGGTTGCGATGGTCGCTGTGGTTGCGATGGTCGCTGTGGTTGCGGTGGTTGCGATGGTTGCGGTGGTTGCAATGGTTGCGGTGGTTGCGATGGTTGCAATGGTCGCTGTGGTTGCGGTGGTTGCGGTG